GCCAGGCACTGGCGAGGACTGCAGTCTGGTTTCAGCTCACCAATCCTCCAACTGGCCAAAGGGCTGGTCAAAGAGGCAGAAGTCCCTGCCCTGCCCACCAGGAAACCCCAGCAACAGAGAGGCAAAGTGCCCCTTTCCAACACCCCCAAAGTGCTCCCAGTTCCAACTCTCACTGAGGCCTAAGGATGGGTCAGGCCCAGCGGGGAGTTAAAGACACAGAGAAGAAATTCAGAGCAGCTGCTGCCCTCACAGTCCACAGTGGGGACAGCACAGCAAGCAGATCCCGCCCATACAGAGGTGCTGGGACACCAGCTCACGAGCAGGGAAGCTACCAGGCTAGGTCAGGCTGCCTCGGCTGCCACTAGTCAAAGGGGGAGGAGCCTTGCTCTCTACACACGCTCCAGGTACAGCGACCAGAGTCTCATCCAGAGTGGGGGAAATAGGGTGTTGGATTAAGAATTAGGACACAAGAGTAAGACAGACCTGGACGCAGGGTAACCAGCTGTGTGGCCTTGGGCAAGCTTCTTAACCTCTCCGAGCTTTAGCCACCTCCTCTCTGGAATGGGGTGAAATACTGCATCTACTCACAGGGTTGTTGTAGGTGTTAAATGGGCTCATTCATTCACTCCACAAGTATTTACTGAAGTTCCTACTCTATGCCTGGCCCTGTCCTCGGTGCTGGAGACGTGAGTGAGCAAAGCAGTCAAAGAGGCCCATCCCACAAATAGAAAGCCCATACATAAGGATGTTGTTCTACACATGTGAAAAGACAGTTAGTGCTAAGGACAGGAGAAAAGGGGGGGGGGGGAGACGCCAGTAGTAGAACGGAGGTCCCTGGGCCTCGTGGAGGAGTGTGATGGAGTCATCGATCCGGAGGAGCAGCCCGGCAAGGTGACAAAGCTGGTGCAAAGACCCGGGGGTAGGAGCACACCTGCTGCCCTGTGTTGTAGGAAGGAGGCCAGGGTGGGCAGAGGAACGTGGGCAGAGGAAGGACAGAAAACACGGATGAGGAGAGAGCAGCTGGAGGGAAGGCAGAGGGGTTGACCTTGTCAGCCACTGCAAGGCCGCTGGGGTTAGTCCTGAGTGGAAGGGAGCCGCTGCAGGGTCTGAGTGAGGAAAAGGGATCTGATTTCTGTGCGAGAAAAAGGCTTGCTCAGTGGTCATGCTGAGAACTAACTTGTGGAGAGTGTGTAGCAGCGCCTGGTACGTGGAAAGCATGCAGGGAAGTATAGCTATTCTTAGTCATAGGAACCCCAACTCGTGTAGTGGGCGAGAAACACCTTACCCCACAGGGCGGTTCAGGTTTAGAAGATTCGCTGACCTTAAAGGTAATCGAGGTGTGGCTCCCTCTAGTGCACCCCTATCCCTGGCCATTCACCCCGGGTTCAAGACCGGAGACCACACTGGGCCAGCTCTTGCCATCAGGGCCTGCTTGGAACCAGTCCCCAGTGACTCCCCTAGGGGCCTGCTCCTGGGAAGCACAGTGCAAGTCTGTCCTCCCTTCAGAAGCCAAGGACAGCAATGGCCCAGCCGGGTCTTGCAGTCACAATCCAAGGGAGTTTCTAGAGGAAGGTGGGATTTCTAAACGAAGGATCCTGGCCCAGGGGGATGAAAAGAAAGACAGCAGCTTGCCACTGCCTCCTTGGGCCCCCTAGAGAGAAACTGCAGGAGAGAAGGCCCTGGACGTTCCTCCCGGTCCTGGCCAGAGATCAGGGCAAACAGGGGCTCAATTGATGGCCTGAGGGCATGGGAGTGACTCCTGGGCCACAGGTGAGAATCCTGAAACCCAGGCCTGGGAGGGGTAACGAGCACTGTCCCAGGCCACCCGGGGAAGGACAAAGCTTCCAGAGGGCCTGTAGCTTCCCCTCTGAGGCTGTGCCTCGGTCGGCCTGGGCAGGTGGGCTGCTGGGCAGTACATGGCTCCAGGCTTCCTTCTGGGCTGGCTCTTGGGCGCCCGACGGCGGTGCCTCCGGAGGGCTGGTGAGCGGGGCAAAGAGACTGCGAATCCACAGGGTCTTTTCACCCGGCCTCAGGTCCGAGCTGAGGGGTCAGGGGCAGCGGGATGAAGGGCAGAGCCACTGAAATGCGCTGACTGGGGATTCCCGTGGGGAACGGAAGCAAGAGGGACCTAAGCCGAGCTGTGGGACTCGCCCCCTCCGACTGGGTGCCAGGCCGAACCACACGCCCGCCGCACGCTCCCCTCTGGGGACCAGCGGCACTCCCGCAGGGGGCTGGGGAGGGGTCCAGGCTCCGGGACGCGGGGCGCGGGGGTGCGGGCGCGGGGGATGGGCCCCGGAACGCGATGTGGAC